TAATTTGGCAGAGCGGCCTACAGAGAACTGTATTTTATAACACAGGAAGAAACAATATTACAAAATTTACATCTGGAGTAGCAGAAGCATATCTCAGCTCCCCTTTCTTTCATCCACATATTGCCTACAGGATTCCCAGGGCTTTTCATTGGTATTTCAGGCATATGGAAGGAGACAATCTTTTTTTCAAGATTTTATTTTATTCTTTCTCTGTTTAAACATGGATATTTGATAGATTATTTTTTTAAAAATAAGTGGACAAAGGTAGAAGTGGCAGATTATGTCCTGATTGTGAACAGCTATGAGAGGTGATGAGTACTTCACATTACTCTATCAAATCTGGATTTTTCTCTCCCATTCCTGTGTCTCACTTCAGTGCTGCTTTAGTTTTTCCATTTTGAGCTTCTCAGAGTGGTCAGCAGTCGCTTAAATAAAAATGCTTGAAGTATGATTCACTGAGCCATCACCAACAAATGGCATCAAAACATGCTTTTTTCTCACAGTGGACACTTCAGTCTTGATCTTTCTGTCTATCCCACAGCCTCTCTGGCCCCTTGCCTTCCTACAGTGCAGCAGCCATCCTCTTCTGGCAATCAGATAGTCATTTCACCGTGCTGTTTATCTCCCCAAGCTGGTTACCTTTCTGGTCTCATTCACTTTGCACCTTCCCTCTTCCTCAGCTCTTGATTGCCTTTTCTGCTTCTGCAGCTTGTGCTGAGGTGTTGCCATGTGGAGAAAATGCATGCCTGGAGGCTGTTTCTGCCCCCTGTTCTTGGCTGGAACTGTGCTGTTACAAGTGGTACCTGAGGCTGCTAAGGTGGTTATCCAGGGACATAAGGGTAAACAGGGCTGTGTCAGAAGTGTCTGATCACAGAGAAGCTGTGGTGTCCCATCCCTGGAGGCACTCAAGGCAAGGTTAGATGGAGTACTGGGCAGCCCAAGCTGGTGGGGGGCAGGGGTTGGGACTGTGTGGGCTTTGAGGTCTTCTCCAACCCAAACCGTTCAGTGATTCTATGATTCCAGCTCCCAGATTCCAACATCTCTACTATTCAGGGATTTCCAGTAGGGGAAGAGTAACGGCAGAACTTCCTCTTTTTTTTCTATGATTATAAGTTCTTGTCACATGTGCCCAGGGTTTCCAGGCTCCTTTCCTGCAGCCATGGGACTGGGAGACTGGATTTGGCAGGGCACTGCAGCAAAATTCCTGTTTGTATACCAGCAGAGATGGGAACAAGAGATATAGCTGTTATAACTGCATAAGATAAAACAAACAAACGAAACAAAACAACAAAGCTATTTCTGTGCCAGATAAATGTCACAGAGATCACGTTTTTTTTTTTTACTGCTTTATGACTGTACTATCCCTCTATAGTATAAAATAAATATCCCTGTGGACCTGTGAATCAACCTTGCCCTTATTTTAATATAGGGGTTTGTATTTATGTTTGTGAGTATAATAACTTGTCCTTGACTGAAGGAGCTCTGTGATTTTTCTTGCTCTTTGTTAAATTTATTTTTGTGTGGTACATTTGCTGCTTTTTTGATACTTGAATTTTTTTTTAGCATTGTGCTGAATTCAACCTGATAGCAGCCAGAGCCCTAGGCAGAAAATACCAATTTTATGATTGTATGGTAGACTTATGACACCTGAGTAAAATTTCCTAATTTGCTATTGCTAGTGCCATACACTGCTACAACTGAGCAAAAGTACTTTAGATGTTCATTGTGAATTCTTATTAATAAGACCTTCTTGCATCTGAGCCCTTGCAAATCAAAAGGTTATTAGTAGGAGATAAAAGGAAGTATCAGAAAGGGATATTCTTAAGCAAGTTCTATGAGATTATAGGAATTTTTCTCTCTAAGAAAACAGACCATACATTTGGCAAATTACTAGGTTTTTTTTTCCCTAAGTTCAAAAGTTTTTATTAAAAATAATCAAAATAAGCCTGAAGACAAACAGCAAGGAGAATACTCTTCTTTTCCAGTGGAGATAGTTCAGCTTTTGATTATCACTTTTCAAATACTGATAGCCATGAGAAAGCTATGGAAAAAACAGAGTCTGATGATTACGTGCAGTGATTAATGTAATTGCCTGTCGAACTAAGCCCCAGATATGTCTCCTATTTTCATCTTGTGGGCACTGTTGGTTTAGGAAAGCTATCAGATGTGTCTACCAGGTGTATACTAGAACCACAAAATTATATAGGATGTAAAGGACCTCTGGAGGTCATTTAATCTAATGTCCTGTTCAACATCAGGTACAGGCTAGATCTGGTTGCTGAAGGCTTGACCAGTCAAGCTCTGAATATCTTCAGGGATGGAAGTCTCACAACTGTTATGAAAGAACCTGTTCTAGATTTTGACTACAACTTTTGCTACAAGATTTTTTTTCTGACATCCAATCATAATTCCTCTTTTTGCAAGCAGTGTCTCTTGTCCTTTGTCTTTTTCTCTATGAATCTTCAAGAAGTGATGAATCTTGTTCTTCTAGCCTCCCACTAGCCAATTGAAGATGTGGCCCCCCTCCACCTTTTTAGTCTCTCATCCCAACACTGAAAAAACACAGTTCTGTCAACCTCTCCTACATGTTTCTGTAGACAATGGCATAAAAAATAAAAGAAAGGGATTTTGGAAATATGTGGTAGAAGGGAGAAAGGTCATTGATGGGCTGCCCAATATTAGATCAGATATATCCTTAACATATATTAACATATATCCTTGACACTAAAAATGTTAATATGTGTTGAGTGCAGATTTAATTTTTCATTTGTTAAAAGTCTGTATAAAAGAGAAGGGCTCTTCAGCCACAGTGCAGCCCAATAGAATACAGGTTTTCATGTCTCCTAGTATGTTTCATATCTTCCAGGTACAAAGATGAGAGAATTAATAAATCACATGAATAGTATTCTGCTCTCAACAGCTTTTCACCTAATGTAATCATCAAATCAGCTCCTCTTATTTTGTCTTCCCAAAAATCCTTCATAGACATCTTTCTTCTGCAGAAATTTTTGGGTATGTATGCAATTTGGTAGCTGATTTTTTTCATTTTGATATACAGAAAATTTGAACACCTTAATGTGTGATGAGGCTATCAGTTCCCACAATCACAGTGTTTTATGTATCAATATTGCACTGCAAGCAGATAGCTATTTTGATCTTCAGGCACAAATTGGAATATTTTTACCCTACATATTTTAAAATATTCCAAACAAATGAATATTTATGTTTTGAATTATTCTCCCCACAGACATCAGTCTACATATTTTAACCTCTTTTTTTTTTTTTCCCCATTTCTCAATCTTCTAGATTCCCTCTCTCTCTATTTCATTAGTGACTACAATGTTTTCTATTTTAATAGAACTTGCAGCACACTATTGACTCTTTCATCAAGTTATGGAAGAAGTCAGTTGGGCAGTCTTTCTACTCAACAAGAATATCCCTCTGCATTGTGCTGGTCTATAATGACATCCTGCCAATATTGCTCCTCTCTGCTTATTGCCCTTCGCTGAGTTCACTGTTGCTCTAACCTGCCATTCCATGCAAAACTACAATACATTTCACTCTTCAAATAAACTATTAACCTGTATTCTTAGAGAGAGAAACTTTTTGAGCTTTGTTCTACAAGAAACAATATAGATTGAGAATATCCTTAGAAATGAGCTCATAAAAGTATAAGGAAATATTACCAAGAAGTTAGGAATTAATGTTAAAGCATTACATCTCCTCTCCAGATTGATGCAGCTATATCTCACTTAAAATGTCAGTACATATGTAGACATCATCTTCAAAGAACTTCTAATACATGCATACATGTATATATAAAATTATGTTAATAAGATCAGCCATTTCTGTCTTTGCTCTGAATACTTTTGAAAAAGTATATGTGATTTTCTGTAGTATGACGAATACCTTTTCAAATTAAGAGACTGTAAAAAAAGTAGATTCACCAAAGAAGGGCCATCAAATGATATCCAGACAAAACAGTGAATGACTGCATTTCTTTGTGCATGGTTACTTCTTTTCCCTTTTTTTTCAAGATACCTTGCTGTTTGTTTTTAAATCCCACTAAAAGTTTTGTTTGTACCTTGCTGTTTGCTTTTTTTAATCCCACTAAAAGAGTTTTTCTGCTAAACAGACAGAAACAGCCATACTGGATTGGACAGAAGATGCATTAGGGTTAAGTCTTTATTGTCTTTTGAGATATTCTTTAAAGCTACCTTACAGCCAGTGTGTGATGCCACATGGACTCACTCATGCTCAGCCACGGGCACATCACACATCAGTCCTTCTGGGACATGCAGGCAAACTACGAGCATGCCTCTGGGTCCTGCACTACTCACTAATTTAGAACAGGCTTTGGAATCTAAAGATATGTAAAGAAGTTGGTATCCCATCTCTTATGCATTTGGGTGTTAGATGCTTCAAAGGAAGATTCCTGACTACTAATGGTGAAGAATTTTGAAATCAATTAGAATTATAGAATCATTGAATAATTTAGGTTGAAGGAGACCTTTGGATGTCATCTAATCCAGTCTGTTGCTCAAAGAGGGTCTAATTATATCAGTTTGCTCAGAGAGGTTTCTAATCAAGTATTCAACAACTCCAAGGCTGGAGATCCCAAAAGCTGTCTGAATGCGTTCCAATGTTTGACTATCCTTATAATGAAAATATTTTCCTTATATCTAATTGGAATTTCCTGTGTTCCAAACTTTGCCCACAACCTTTTTCTCCCTACTGTTCTGCCTATCTGTTAAGAATTTTGCTCAGCCTCATTCCACCTGCTCTGAATCTTCTGTTCAGGTACCAACTTGGTTGTTCCTCCTAATCTAGTGTTGTCTGCAGACTTGCTGAGAATGCATATTGTCCTGCAATTGTGTTTAATAATGAGAACATTAAACAGTATGAACTTCAGTGTCAGCCCCTGAGGGGTGCTGTAGTTTCTGGCTGCCAGTTTGACTTTGCACCACTGATCACAATATTTTGCTCTGTTGTCTTCCCAGGGACTGAACTGAGACTGGCTAGCCTTTAAGTGACCTGGATCCTTAAGCCTGCAATTCCTGAAGCTGGATGAAGACCTGCTACAAATGTTCTTGCCCTGTAGGCTCCAGTAGTTAATAATTATTTTATTCCTTATACATAAGAACTTACAAACCTCATAGATAGATAGACTATCTAAACCTCATAGATAGATCTAGACTTCCATTAAATAAAAAATACTGTAGATTTCTTGGCTGTAAGAGTAAATTGGGTTAGCAAATTCATGGGGCTGAAACTGTTCCTTTCGGTTGTTGTTCTTCAATATCAGCCAGTACCAATTTATAGATGTTCTACTTCTCACTAACGCATCTTTATTAGGTCCCTTTAGAATCCCTTGCAATCTTCTCTCATCTTGCCAAATGAAATAATTTTCAACCATCTGCAAAATTAATTGACTGACTCACTGTTCACATTTTTTTTCTCAGTGATTATACTCATACAAAACACATGGGGTTCTATCAAACGTTGGTCCTATCATGTTCCCTGAGATAAAAAGACTATTTTTATTAAATTTTTACAAGATTAACTTATATTGAAATAAAATTCTATGATCTGCATTTCTCCAGTTCCCTACCTTTTCTTTTTTCTTTCTTTTTTTTAATAGCTGGAACAGTTGTTGCCCTGCAGGTCTCCGGTGTAGCTGCTGATTTTAACCAGAGATTGCAAATTTTGATAGCTGTTAAATCCTTTCTGTCTTCAGCACCTGCAGAGCTTTGGATAGGTACCAGCTAGTTCTAGTGAGTTGCTGTTCGCCAGTTTGTTCCAGCCTCTTTTCCTGTACTTTTCATCTTAAGTCTCTATTCGAGGCCTATCTTCATTACTTGAAATTACTGATCCCGGATTGGTGAATGAATACTTTTGTTGTGACATGGTGGGAAGGGATTATTCAAAGAATTCTTTAAGTTTATTTACATTTTTGTTGTCTTTTAGTTTGTGGTCATCTTGGGCTTGGGCATAACTAATTCACATCTGACTTCCTGCTTCTGTAATACCTAGAAAGTTTCCTTGGGTTTGTTGTATCCCTTGCAGTTATTCTCCAAATTCCTGCTGTACTCTTCTACCTTCTTTTCTGCACACTGTCACTAATGATTTTCCCTTTTCCTGTTGACTTCTCTTGGGTCAGATTTCTTTCTTCTCAAGGAGACTAAGTGCACTTCAGTAGATTTTAAACTTTTTTTACTTATCTAGCTAATTTCTTCAGCTACCGGCTTATATTTTATATTAGTCTTTCTTATATGTATATATATATATATATAAAAAAAATTCATTGTATCATTTTTCCCATGAAGTAAAACTTCTAAGATACTTCCGTTACTGTACAAAAAAATCCAGCTTTAAATAATGTTTTGTGGAAAATCCAGCTAATCATGAAATCTTTAGCTGTCAAGAAACCATGTTGCTCTGTCCAATAAAGCTACTTCCATTAATTAAGGATCAGCATTCACTTCATCAATGGAGACCATAGTGGAAATGTCAAGAGATGAGAAAGTGAGAGATTTTCCAGCAAGAAACGTTTTAAGCAGTAACCCTGAAGTCAGCTTTAACAATAACTAGAGACAGCAAAAATTTCAAAGCATTTGACAATGGCCTTTAAGGTGAAGGATGAATACTGAGGGAGGAAAAAAGAAACCACACATGTGTAAAAACAGGTTTTGGATTTATAGATTGCTACAGGCTACTAAAGGTGCTTATTTTCTTTAGTTTCTATAAATCTTTCTGTGTGAACTTGTTTATCCAGATGGAGACTCAGTAATGGTACTGATACTGCAACCTGCAGAGTAGAGTTGTAGATTACTTTCCTAAAGATTACTTGTGAACTTTCGTTATAATTTCACAGAGATCCACATATATTCATGATTTTTAAAAGTGAAGAAACTTTTTATTTATACCTAGAAGATAATACTTTCTCAGCACCAACCCTCATGCAGCAGATTTATTTTTCTAGCTTTGTTATTCTTGGCAGCAACTGAAACCCACAAGGACTTCCTCTTCATAATCTGCAGGTTTCACTACCCTACAACAATTCTGAGTACGTAACAAGTATGTTTCTAAGCCAGACGTAGGAAGGAGATGTATTTATGATAAAATGAAATTGCCAATGGAATTCTGAAAGCTAAACAAGCCATCACTTTCTTTCTTTCTCCAGTTCCATCACAATATGATGAATCATAAATCAAGTTACCTTTTATTCTCTTGGAAAAGCTTTTGTAGCTACAAAAGCTAGTGGCTATAACACAGACAGCTCATCTCTCCTACTAGCCTTTAATTCAGATGACACCTATGCCACTAGGTCTCACATAAAAAGTAAAGCTTGATGCTGAAAATCACAGAGATCTTGGCCATTTGTAAGTTAGCAATAAAAAGTTAACTGTTTGTGTGAATAATAATGTGTATGAGTTTTTTGTTCATTTGCTTTCTTTTTAGAAAGTCAGAATTCTGAAATGCCCAAGATTTATAACAATCAGCTTCACTCATTAAATGTTTTGAACATGCCATGAACCACAGCCTGAGCCTCAGTGGTTTCCCCAGCTGTGTTCTGGGGTGCTCAGTTATCCCAACATACCCATACCATGCTGACACTGGTAAATGTTGGCCTGTGATGCCGTGGTTTGCAAAAGTGAGTAGTATAGGAGCTAAATCCTCTTACAGGAAGTCAGAGAATGGCTGCTGCTCAGAAAGAATGAACACTCCAATATTCATCAGATTGTATCCTGAGTCCTTGTCATATTTGTGCAAGATGCCCTCTGTACTCATGATAATATGGAGACTGAACGTGTAGCCAGCCACTCTCCATGATTCACAGTCTGGGAGCCTGATTTTCACATTGGGTCCCTTGGATACATCCCTTCCCTCTGGGAAGTGGCATTTACAAATGATTTTTTGCTGATTCTAGAGCAAATAGAAATAGAGACACTGTCAAAAAGAGAGTGCAGGTAGTGTTTTTTATCCAAATAAAATTGGAAAATTTCCTGTAGGACTGTTTTCACCAGTTTTCTTGCTGATAATTCAAGAATGATACTGGCCACAAGGGTGAGCTGATTCTGATAAGTTTTCTCATTGGAAGAAATGTTTCAGAAAAAGTATATAAAAAATAGCAGTCTTTCTGCTTTTACATTTCAAAGTGAAAAATTACCCTATTCATTTTGCCATAGTAGTAGCTTATGCACAAACATTAAAAACACAGTCTGAAGACAGTCCTCACAGTTTGGTGTTTTTTCCCTCCCAAATTACTGGCTCATAGAAATTACATATTTTGAGCTTTTCTTATTTCCGATCAAGAAGCAACTCATGTTTCTTTCCAGATATCCTATTTCTTCTCCTTTACAGGTGGAATCACACAGCTCTCCTTTTCAGCCTCTGCAGTCTGATATGTGCATGAGAGAACAAGCAGAACATTTTCTGTGCTTCTGGTAAAATTACTGGGATGACTGAAATGAATGATGATTACTAGGATTTTCATTGTGAAGTCAAGTGAGCAGAAAATACTACAGTAGAAGGAATTCTTCAAGCTAACCTAAGTGCTGGGACCATAGCTTTGAAAGGTGTCTCTTTTATTTTCCAATTAGGCAACTACAGCAGTAATAACATTTTTGTGGATTTAATGGTCTAAGGCTGTGAAATACTAAAAGGTACTTATGAAAAATCCTTTAGCGTGTATTAAATATCTAATTCAGAACCATGTTTCTGCAGAAACAGCATGGTGTTTCCATGCAGTGTAACATCACTGGAGACCTGGAGTGACTGTAGTCAAGTGGAAGAGCAGTCAGCTGTGATTTCTGTGGAAAGAAGAAGAGATGAAGAAATGAGACTGCTAGAGCACACACGCAGATGCCACATCCTTCTACAAGCATTGGTTGAATGAGCATATGTTTCTTCAGTAAAGCCTTCCAGACTGAATATTTTTAAGCAGACACATACTGTCTATTTCTTTAATTATTTATATTTTAAAAAATATTTTGATAAAGTATTTCAAATCTTTGTGTCTGTGTGTCTATGTGTCTTCTTGTCTTTGTGTCTATGACTCATTAAGGGCTATGTACCTGCCAGTTTTGAATATAAAACAAAGGCTTTCATACCATTCTTAAAGGGGACAATCAAAAAAGAAGGGAAATATTTTAAAGTATTCTCAGTGTTGCATAACTTTAATTTTGAAAAGGGACTTCTCAAAGCTCCTAGTAAGAAGGATTACTTAATTTTTAATTAAAATTTTAATTTTTTATTAATTTCTAATTTGGAAAATTTGTAACTAGAGATGCGCAAGGTCAAGATCCCTCCCCTCCTAACACATTTCTCCCATGGCATTTAATTGCAGGCATTTCTACTGTAAACCTGTTCTGACAGCTTGTCTTCTGAGTGACCAAAATCAGCAGGCTAGTTCACACTACCATCTGTCATTTAAGATGCTGTGTCCACCCCTCCTTAGAAATAGGGTAGTTTGTAAAGCCTGTCAGGAAGAATTCCCCAGACTCTTACACACTTCTTGAAAATTGATTATTTTATTGATTCATTGTTCCCTGAATGTGAAATATTTTCTGCAAAGGGAAAAAGCAGAATGCACTATGACCTCTTGAAAGTTAGAAGGAATTTCCTACCATTTAATATTTACTCATTCACCCCAAATTATTTGCAAACCTCTAATTGTAAACATTTACGAAATGTAAATCTTTATGATACATAGAATTAGAGTGCATCACATGAGCTAGAAATGTTTATGTTGTTTTATCAATGTTTTATTACTTTCCATCTTTTTAGTCCAGAGGTTTTGAATGTAGAAGCTGCAAAAGCTTTTACAAGAGGTTTACTGAGAGCACAATTTTAAGGTGTCGTTTACTTCATCTCCCACTACTTTTTAATCCCAAGGAAATAGTTCATGAGAGTCTGCAATGGACCAATGCAATAATGCATCTACAAACTTGTCCAATAGAAAAAGACAGCCTTTAGCTTCATGCCTTTCAGACATCTGCCTGATTTCCAGAAGTAGAATCACAGAATCATAAAGGTTGGAAAAGACCTCTGAGACCATCTAGTCCAACCACCATCTTATCATACCATGTTCCTCAGTGCTACGTCCATACGTTTCTTGAACATCTTCACCACCTCCTTGTGCCACTGCCTCACTGCTCTTTTGGAGAAGAAATGTTTCCTAATAGCCAACCAGAACCTCCCATGGAGCAACTTGAGGCCATTCTCTCTCATCCTATCACTGTTACCTGGGAGAAAGGGCTGACCCCCACCTTACCACAGCCTCCTTTCAGGTGTAAGATAGATAAGAAATCTGCAAGTAAAAGATCTCAGTAGTGATTTCTCAGCCTGCCTTACATTTTCATTGATGTAACTTAACAAAAATTTCATCCTGACTTATGGTGGATTCTGAATAATATAAAAAACAAACAAACAACAACAACCAGCCTTAAAAAGAGGAAAGGGCAAATCTTAAGAAAAGTGGAAGGAATGGGCTGAGCTGGTATTACATGCTGAATCTACTTTTCAGAGAAATTGAGATAAATTGATGCTAGCCAAAGGGAAGCTGACACAGTTGCAAGTTATTTGCTTTTTCTACAAAATGGATCAACCTGCACATACAGAAATGAAGCCAAAATCACTAACAAACCTGCACTGAGCCATTCTACCCAATTCAGATTCCAAATGTTTTCCTATTTAATAAAAATCATCACAGAGAACATGCTATTAAAATTCAAGTCAAAATTAATGCTGATAAATGTGTGATCAGAGAAAGACAGAGTCCCCAGATAAAAAATTAATAATGGCTGAATGCTCTTAACATATTTCCTTTGATTCATGGGAGCATGGCAGTAGCACAGGGAAATGCCATTGCTTTCAGATGAAACAAATGGCTCTGTATTGACTATTGAAAGCAACAGATGTTCTGCAAACCAGTACTTCCACAAAGGGACAGTCTTGGAACTATTTTGTAAACAACCTAGCTTAAATTTTAATACATGCACTTTGAGGATGGCTGTGTGACAGAAGCTTGTACAGATGGGTCCGGGAAGCTGTGCAATGCAAAGGGCATCGAACTGAATTTGGAAAGCCTCAAGCAGCCTCGTTTGTTGTTTGAAAAAGAAAGTCTGAGTGCACTTGGCTATGCTCATATACTTGCATATTTGTGTAATTCTCTCTAGCTTGCTCCTTTTCTCCACATGAGAAAATGATTTTTTTTCTTCAGAATGTTTGAAAAC